AGCACCCGAGCAACGTGTTGCACTTCTTCAACGCCCAGCCAGACGTCACACCAGAAGTGTTCTCTCAGGTCTGTAGGAAGAAATGTGGATGTGTGTTAAGAGCGCAGGTTGTATATTGAGTGTCCACCACTGATTGTATTATATTGCATTGGAATTTATGTAAGGCCAATCAAAGCATTTAAGAATCCACTAAAATAACTGTTGCAAGCTCTGACTATTGGAATAGAAGTGTTTAAAGTGCTGATGTCCCTCATAAATGTTTTGCTCTTTGCAGATCTGTGATGAGATTGGTGTCAAATGCCCCGTCAACGTCAAAATGTTCACAGGAAAAAGTAAGCTGCTTTGATTCTGCTTATTTATAATTTTGGTGGTGGCTTTTGCATCTGGAATCCCCGAATTAAAATAAGAGCAACAAAGACACATTTTTCAAATAAAGTACTGTAGCTACACAAATCAAGAACTGTAGCGTTTTAGAACTGGGAAGTTTAAGAAAACTTGCTGTCAAGCTCAATGTTGACAAACATCTAGAACAGGACAAAAATGAAATGCAGAGTCCAGGATCCTCAGACTGGATAGTGATATTTCTGTATCTGCAAATACCTGACCCCTGTTGACCCTCTAACCACCAGGTGGTGCAGCTCCCAGTGACCGCAGTGCTTCGGGTCTGCTGGAGTGGGAGTCCATTAATGATGCCATGGAGGCCCTGGCCATGATGAACCACTTCCAGATGAAAAACGCAGGTATGTGTAGGACAAATTGTTCCCCTTGTGGTCAGGGGTTTGTGGAGGTGTTGTTTCAGGCACCTTGAGACTGGTGAGATCTAAGATCACAAATTTGTAGGTGATGCAAACGTGACGTTAAGTATGACTATTGTATTAAACTGAAAGCACACAATGTTACAGTTATGACACGTCTCAACCACTGGAGTAACTTGGACAAAGGCAGATTTGTTAAGATGTAAACATAATTATGGTTTAATACACTGAAGTTCCTCAGAAGACTGATTAATTCCACAGGTCAAGTTTATTGTTGCCTAAATTTCAATCTCCTCTCTTTGCAGCTGGTCCTTACCCTTACACCCTCAAACTGTGCTTCTCCACCGTTCAGCACGCCAACTGAACGCACCCTTTTAGCGAGGATGATGAAGATTGGTCCGCCATTCCCATGTTCACATGTACTTAGATCACGACTGCTTGCAACACACCTGGGGATAATTGATTTTCAAAAACACTTCAATTACCGTGAAATATTATTATTCACAATACAATTGATCCCTCCTTATATTTGGTATATTAAGCTGACTTAACAAATGCTAACAGGCATTTAAAATTTTTGATATTTATGCCCCAGATGTGGTTTATAGAGTATCAGTACCTGTGTGTCTTCGGTATTAAGTTGTCCTTTTTACTTTTTGTATTATGCTTATACAGTAACCTGACATGTGAGAAAGCGTATGTGAAAGTTTTATGCTCAGGTGGTTCAGTGGCAGTGGTTAACATGGTTTTGTAAAAGAGCTGTCTTTTGAAACTTTTATTGTAGCTGATTTATTTCTTTTTGTGTTATTTTAATTGCTGCCGACTCAGTTGTGTGTCTCCATGTCTGATATGCAGATGGAGAATTGTTTTGTTCTAAAAAAAAATAAAAAAAAATCAATCTAAAGTTTACTGTGCCACACTTCTGAATTTACTGTCTTAAATGTGTTTGTCTGTTCTGTCAACATCTTTGACAGAAGACTGTTTTCAGACTGAATCCAATCACATGAAAATCCAACTCAACTGCTGCTTAATTTACCTGGAGGAAGGCTTGGCCAGAGCCTGGTATCTGGTGGTGGGCTATTAAGACCATAACTATAGTAATGTGTCTCCAGTCTGCCCTCCACAATCATTTTAAATAGATTCTGAGTATGAAGTGTGTTCCCACTCAAACCAGACAGCATGCACTTCTAAATACAGTCAACTGTTGATTGACTTGGGGAAGTGTTTGGATCTCCCCCTGATGCTGAATGTTTGATAGAATCTTTCTCTCCTTTTTTTTTTTTTTTTTTTTTTTTTTTTTAAATGCACCTTGCCAAAGGAGCATTAAGCAAACACACAGGAAGGAAGAAAACTAAATATTTCTCCTGTCAACAACTAAAATGTTTGAAACTATTCACAGGAGGGGTTCATATCCTAACATCACACCAACACCCAGCAGGTATGAGCATTTTTAACAGGTTATGCTAGTTTCTCCACATTAGAAAACTGCACTTTAATAAAAATATAAGTATTGGTGTTACTTTTGGTGACACTAGTACTTACTGTTTGCCTGTCATTTTAGTGTTGAAGTTCCTCACGGTGACCAATGGAGGGCAGTAAACTCATGATTCTCAATACAATCAGGGCAACAAATCTTTCAGGAATGGATTGTACTGCAGCTGCCTGAATATCATAAAAATAGAAAATGATTGGGGAGTAGGTGGCACAGGAGTCTGAAGTGGCAGTTCAGAGTACTCTTGATTGACTGTAAAGAAGAACGCTTCAGAGGAGTCTTAAGTTATTACATGTCTCCTGATAAAGGTAAAACTGCCTCATAATGTTTTACAGAGAATTTAGTTTCCTGCTCACTGAATTGTTCTTTTTGCACAGGTTTAAAAATTGTGATTGGTTTGATAACTGAGCAAATCTGGTTAATCTGATAACATCCTCTCCTCTCCTTCTTTCCTCGCCTCCTCTGCTCTCCTCCCTCCCCGTCTCCTCTCCTCTCCACCTCTCTAAATGAAAAATAGGAGATGAGCAAGTTGTAGTTAAAACTTGATAAATCAGGAACACACATGTTTAATTCATCACTGATTGAAATCTATAACATGAAATATTTACCTCTTACATGAGTTTGTAGTTTGCATGTTGCCCTCCCTCCTCGTCTCCACTCTCTCTTCCCCTCCTCTCCCTCCTTGCTCCTCCTTCTTCTCCTATAAACATGTTTCTGTTGTTACTACAGTCTGTCCCACTACACCGTATCTTCTCCTGCACTGAGTTTCCTTGTCACTGCGGACTGCTGTTGGTTGAGGGTGGGCATCGACTGACATATAAACCCCTTTGCATTGGTGTCGCCATCCTTGTCTTTCTCTGTCACAGAGGAGCTTCAATGGGGGGTCGAAACACGTTGGAGGTTCACGCTACCCCTCACCTAGAAGGTCATCCGTCATAGTCTATATGTAAAATGTTTCCCATACTATCTTGCACCCCTGTCTGTCGTAAGGTTCTATCCTCTCCATGACGAGCCCCACATTCCTTGCCCACTCCAGCTCAGGCCAGTCTCCTGTTTCCGGGGGGGGGGGGGGGGACGCCAAAGGCTCACTGGGCACGTCTAGTGTTTTGGGGGGGGGCACACTTCAACAGGCTCCTTGGGCACTTCGGTTGTTTGGGGGAGGCACGATGCCTCAGGCTCACTGGGCAGCTCAGGTGTTACCGGAGCCCTCCGTGGTCCTCCTCTGACCCTGGGGTGGGGGGAGTTAGGAGAAAGCTTAGGGAAAAAGAAGGGAGAGGAAGAAAAAGAGTTAGATGAAGAGGTAGAGCTAGGGGAAAGAATAGGGAAAAAGGAGGAAGAGGAGGAGGAGGAGCCAGGTGGGGAGCCACTGTGGGATGCTGGTGCTGAAACTGGGCTGGTTGGACTGGTTGGACTGGTTGGACGGTGGGGTTTGGAAGGAAGGACGATGTCCAGGTGTAGCGTTGCTCCATCGCATTGACTGGAGGACAGCAGAAAGCATTGGGCAGTATAACCTTATACAGAGAGATGTAAAATCAAACAGTGCACCCATGTGTGAGAAAGCAACACAGCACAAGCATGGGGATTTGTGATGAAAATATGATGCATACTGACCATATCCATTTTCTGGCCTATCAGGTCATATTCATTTTGTCATTTTATGTTGCTCGATCAAAAGGCTTCTGCCGAAGCTGAATTCATGTGTGCAGGAATTGACTACTCAGCCTGGGCAGGAAAGCCCACCTGAAGCCAATTCATGGACAGCTTCAAGGAATAGCAAAAGCATTTGGGGAAAAATGAAGCCAATAGGAAAAGCATTTTCAATTTTTTTTTATATTTCTTTTTATATTTCCACATTTTTAATTTAGTTATTATTTATTTGACCTCTTATTCTTTTACAGATGTCGTCTTTTTTATGGCACTATGACTCCATTCCTCAGAGCCTTCTGTCCTCTCTTCAATCCCTGTCCATGTGGTGAGGAGTTCCTCTGTGGGGCTGAGGGATGGAGAGTAAGGTGAAAGGAAAAGTCACAGCGTAATTTGTTTGGTTCCATATTAATGTGAGTAATTTTTGGTGTTTATCATACTGAAAAATTGCTCGGTAATGTTCTTTTGTTGTCTCCTGGCCTCTGGTAGCACTTGGTTCCTCTTTTTTCCTTTTGCCCTGTTTTTAGCTGAGTCATGATTTCTGAATGCTGCAATGACAAGCACACTGCAGGAGAGAAAAAAGTAAAACAAAAATAAAATATTAAGGAAAGCAGAATACAGGCAAGAGAGAAAAATAATAATATATCATAGGATGAAAGAGAATAACAGTAAGAGTACAAGAGCAAATGGTGAAAAGGCACTGTCCAAAGATATATTATTAAGAATAGGCCCTTAACACAGGTTTCAGTGAGTAATTCAATGAAATGTAATAAATTGTTGCAGGATACTATCCATTTCCATCCAACTACTGATTCACTATAATCAGTAGGAGTCTTCTGCTGAATACTATGTGTCAGGTAAATTATTGTCTGGATAAAACTTGAATTAAAAAGTTTTGTGTCTCACTCAGAATATTACAGTCTAGTCGTTAAATATTCTGCATTTTCTAAACCGATATTCTAAGCTGGTGAATGTAAAGCAAGGTTTTTTTTTTTTAACACAATATCGACTAATATAGATATTGATCATTTACATGATATGAGAGCACCAATCAAACCTCCCCTCCCCTGAAGCTTTTTGACACGAGTTTCTTTGTCTCTCGGGTTTGAGCCCCGTCAGCCACCGTATCAGGCTGAGAAGGAGACTGAGCTAAGCCAGTTATCAAAGGGTAACAGAAACCTTTGGCTGCAACTTTAAGAAGCTGCAACCTGCAACTAAACTGTTGCTTTGTACATCGGTCCTGTGTTTCTGCTTCTGTACATTTGCTGGCCACCAGCGAACTTTACAGACAGTAGGTAAGACACTTGTTTAAGAGCAGTTAGCATCAGTTAGCTCTAGGCTAATGTTAATTAATAGGGCAGCAGGCTAAGTGAATCAGTTCTCCCTGTTTGCTGCAGTTTTATTGATCAGTAAAGACTCTGGACTCTGAGACCTGCGAACCTGCGAACTTGCGATGTTGTCAGTCATTGTCAGGTCAACTCTCACCAAATGTAAGTGTCGGTGGGCTGTGTGTGTCTGTGTGTTAGTTGGCTGTTGTGTTATTGAGGAAAATGTATAAAACTTCACTGTGCTTCAGATGTTAGCTTTACAGATGTTTGGTGTTTGTCACAAGCTTCAGCTCGTGATAGTTTGTAGATGAAAATGTCTTAAACTGAAGTCAACAGAAGACATGAATGGCGATGTAGGTGAAAGGTCACAGCGCCGCAGGAGTTTCTCATGCAACATGCAAAGAGCTCATCTGCATATGTTATTGTAGTTTACACTATGGTGACAGATAATAGACATACTATTTTACATTGACAAGTAACATGCTGGTTATCTTTTTGATTCATCGATTATTAGTTAAGTCTATGAAGATAAGTTTCCAAAAACCCAAGGTGATGTAATTAAATAAACTAAAATATGTATTACGCAAGACAAAGAGGCTAGAAAATTGATAAACAGTTAATCAGTTATCAGAACTATTGAAATTATTCAGAGCTGCAACTATTACTTGATTGATCTATTGGTCAATCAACAGAAAATGAATGAGTAACTATATTTAGAATCAAATAATTGTTTTAACTCAAAGAAAAAAATTCAAAAATTGTCTCCAGCTGCTGAAATTTGAGGATTTGATTTTTTCTTTACAACTCGATATGATACACATAACATTTTTATTGATCACACAGAACAAGACATTTAAAGTCGATCACAGAGGTCTGGGGGAAATTAGAACAGTCATTTTTCACAATTTTCTAACATTTTTTTAGACAAAATAATTTATCAAAAAAATAATCTGCAGATGAGTTGATAGTGTAGATAATCGTTAGTAACAGCCCTAAAATGTGGCCAAATAATTTAACTTTGCTACAGACCAGTGGAAGTCTTTTGTCATACCTTTTTGCATGATTGTTACCTTCCAAATATTTACATTCAGCTCAAAAACCCAGAGAGAGTTAATCACAGTTAATGATCAAATCCCCACATTTTGAAAACCTGGGATCAGAATATTTTACATGTTGTTGAAAAAAGCAGTGAAGTGATTGTTTATCAGAATAGTAGATTAGATTTCCATTGTAGTGAAGCTAAAGCCATTTGGCTTCCACTGATCTGTGTTCTTCTGCTCATGAGTCTCATCACTGTTACCGTTTCTCGGCCTCAGAGGAATTCAGTCACATGCTGTTGTTGTAGTTCTGTTCAGGATGAACTTGTTATTTTTTTTTATCATTGTCTGTCTTCTCACTTCAGACAGGAGTTTGTGGGTGCCCAGTCAGTCTGTGGTCAGAGCCATGTCGTCTTCAGCTGCTCCTACCTCTCCTTACACCACCCTGGCCATCAGCCACCCAGCAGAGTCTGTCACACATGTGGAGCTTCACCGGCCTGAGAAACGCAATGCCATGAACAAAGCCTTCTGGAGGCAGGAATCTGTTTAAATTAATATGCAATCATTTGCTGTAGCCACCACAAACATACAAAACAAACAATTAATCTGGCTATTATTCTTTACTCTAATGCAGTTTTCCCAACATTGACAGGAATGTGTTTTTTCTCTCAGTGAGATGGTGGATTGCTTTAATGAAATAGCCGGAGACCCGGACTGCAGAGTGGTGGTGGTTTCTGGAGCAGGGAAGATCTTCACAGCTGGTGGGTATCGGGCAGTTTACACTTTTTAATGACTTTGTTTTTGTGGTAGAGTTGTATTTATCGTCTGTGTTCTGTTACTGCCCAGGTATTGACCTGATGGACATGGCCAGCGACGTACTCCAGCCGCAGGGCGACGACACGGCCAGAGTTTCCTGGAACCTCAGACAAAAGATCGCCAAGTATCAAGAGACATTCTCCGTCATAGAGAAGGTCTGACCTGAGGAGTGCTTCTGTTTATCACACGAAGGAATGATAAGTAGGGCTGCAACTGACGACTAATCTAGATTAACTGATTAATCATTTAGTCTATAAAATGTATAAAAAATATTCATCAAAATAGTTGCAGTTAAAACATTTTTTAGCGACTAATCAATTAATTGATTAATCGTTGCAGCTGTAATCTTAAGATCAGACCTGCCACAGACATGATTATGTATTTGAACAGCATTGAAAATGTTGGGTTGTTTATGTACATTTTCCTATGAAATGATTCATTATTGCTGCTGTTTTCTTCCCGTAGTGTCCAAAGCCTGTTGTGGTGGCCGTCCACGGAGCCTGTGTTGGAGGAGGTGGGACATTATTATTATAGTGCAACCATAAGTACATTTTGAATTAGGGCCTAACTTTGAAGATAAGGGGGCCTGTATCACCAAGTAAGAATAGTGTGTTAGCCAGTTGTCTTAAGGCTTGCCTCTGGTTATCCTGTGTCACAAAGCTGGCTTCAGTTTTAAGCAGAGTAGATCACCATGGTAACAGATGCTATTTGACTAACCTGATCCAGACCGGGGTCCTGTTCTTCAAATATGGCTTAATTCAGTAGTCCTGTCTTTGGAAGCAGTTCTAAAGATTGACGTGTTATTCAGTGAAACCAGATAACCCAGAGAGAACCAGACAAAGGTGAACCTGCTTCGTGATACGGGTTGAGGTTGCTCTCCGTCATATTGTTTTTTTGTATGCCTGCAGTTTACACTTTTTAATGACTTTGTTTTTGTGGTAGAGTTGTTATGTCTTGTCTGTCACCGTATCGCTGCAGTTTAGAATCAGATAACTCCAGTGGCTGTTGTGCTCTGTGGCAGGTGTTGACTTGATCACAGCCTGTGACATCCGCCTGTGTACCCAGGACGCCTGGTTCCAGGTCAAGGTGAGTACATGTCCATCCAACTTTCATAGTTTGGAAATGTGGTTTGGAAAACGGGAAATGTTAAATAGGGAATAGAGAAATGATTAAGACCAAAATAAAGAATAACTAAGAAGCTGAAAAATAAAAGGAGCTAGTGAAAGATAAATTATCATTGACAGACAAAAGAAAAGGCTTTATATTTATTTTTACACTCTATTGTAATTATTTAACTTTTTTTAAAGAATATGTATTTAAGGATGTTTTCTGATGTATTTTGGATAGTTGTCAGTTTCAGTTCTTGATGTAAAACAAAGACATATTTGAATGAGAACTGTAGCAACCAAATTCATCCTCATTCAGTGTTTAACCAAAGAAAATAAACATAAAATAGAAAGTTTTTAAGAACATAATAAAAACAGGGACACAGCATTTTAATTTGTAAAGCACAAATGAGCTCCTCTGTATAAAAGGATACAGGTGAAAGAAATCATGTAGATGATGTTCTGATACTGTCTGATTTGATACTTGGAGATGATGTCACCACAGTCTCAGTTTGTGTCTTCCTGGCTTTACAGGAAGTTGATATCGGGCTTGCAGCAGACGTTGGGACTCTCCAGAGACTTCCTAAAGTCATTGGTAGCAGCAGGTAAATTGGTCATTTTAATAAACCAGGTCTGCAGCCTCTCTGTAGGAATGAATGTGATGTTCTGTGCAAATCATTTAAAAGTGACAGAAATCATCATCATCATAGAATGATTAAAAGTGATTTTTTTTTAATATGACTTTCAATTAGACACAAATATAATCAACTGTGGAAACAACAAAGCCTCTTGTTGTAAAGGTATCAGAGGAATCTTACATTCATAGACTATATATTACTCCCACCATGAGCCCTGAACAACCAGAACTGAAAACATTTACAGAGCAGCTTCACCGAAGTCAACCCAACAACCTGAATATCGATACACAGATCCACACGACCGCCCCAAAGTAGACAAAACCAGTTCCACGCTGCTCTGTGTGCACCAGGGCAGCAGAGAGAGAAAGGGATGAATTATTGATGCAACAAATGTTACCTGCGTGTTCTAACTGCTCCAACAGTTAAACGTGACTCCATGATGTTGAGATCAGGTCTCTGAGGATAGTTCTTTATGACTCTGGCTGAACATTTCGACTCATCCTGTTGCAGAATCAATCTGGAACCGATCAGACGCCTCACTGTCGGTGTTGTGTGATGGATAAGAATCTAAATCTCAAGTAAAGTCCCTGTCATCACTAATTAGACTAATGACCGTCAGTCACACACCAGAGCAGTGCCTTATTTGGACCAATTCCTCTGATGAAATGGGCTTACGTGTCTGAACAGGGAAATAAAGAGAACATTTAGACAAAAATCATTTAGAAGCAATTTACTGTAATTTGTTACATCTCCGTGAGTTAATGGCAAAACAGACATAATTAACACCTATTAAAAGGTACAAAGTCACAATTTTGAGTTTCCTGTATCTTCAATGTTTATACAATAAGTCATATTGTCATGTGACCAACTCCCATTTTCTGCAGCCTGGTGAACGACTTGGCTTTGACCGCCAGGAAGATGTATGCAGATGAAGCCAAGAGCAGCGGCCTGGTCAGGTAAATACATCCTATCATCAATCATCATTTACAGAATGATATACATTTGTGCCATTGATTGTTTTTACTATCACTTTAATCAACAAGTGATCAGCTGCAACAACTTTAGTGCTAAAATGTGCCACACTAGAGGTGATACAGCTACAGGGTGTTAATCTTTAGAGCCATCTCTCTCAGTGGATCACATGCTGCGAAGGGTTTCCTTCATTTTTAATGAGTTAGCCAGCAAACTTCTGGCTTACTGAGGGTTCATTTCAGTGTCATGGACCTGGCTCATGTTTATGAGTTTAAAGAGCGTCACTTATTTTGAAGCAGTAAATCTCACATTTTGAAATCCACATTTTCTCTCCAGCCGCGTGTTTGCAGATAAGGAGGCCATGATGGCCGGAGCTCTGGAGATGGCCGATGAGATTGCTGCTCGCAGCCCTGTAGCTGTGCAGGGCACCAAAATCAACCTCATCTACGCCAGAGACCACAGTGTGGCAGAGGGACTGGACTACATGGTAAGATTATAATATTCCTTTTTTAAAATTGAACACAATGGTGGATTTTTCTGAACATGTTTGTCAGTGTCAGCCAATGTCAGTCACACCACAAAGCTGCCATTTTTTTTTCCCCCACTGAATTTCATCGCTACCTTGTTTGTCCTTCTCCAGGCCACGTGGAACATGAGCATGCTTCAGACTCAAGATGTGATGAAATCCGCTCAGGCTGCCATGGAGAAGAAGAGTCCAAAGACGATAGCCTTCTCCAAACTCTGAACCTCACTGAGGCACAGTTCAGATATAACACCATTGTGGCCTTTCTGTGGGAAGGGGATCCACATGTGACTGTCTGTTCTACTCTGAGCTTTTAACACCCCAAAAAAAAAAAAGAAAAAAAAAAAAAAGAAAAAAAGAAAAGGACTTTCCTGTAATCTGTGGCTATTTGGGGATGACGTAATGAGACTTAGAGGTAGAGTCATGAACCACTGTTGGAAATATGATAACTTGGTTCAGGTTAACATCCACAGGTGACCAGCGATCTCTTACAAACTGTAATATCAGAAATGGATAACTAACAGGTATGAGTCCGACTCAGTGCCCACCTGGGCAGTAGGACTGTACACCTGGAGCCGAAGACTAAATCTAAAGTGACCTCACTGATTCTTCAGTTTGCCTACAGCTGACGATTTGTTTCTCACTTCATTGCTGAAAATAGTAACAGCCAGTTTTGTACATCTGTAAATGACTTCATGAATGTTTTACCTTATTAAAAAGAAACTCATTTGAAAGTTAGTGTTGACTGAAATCTCCATTTTAACCTGTTACTTGATACAACCATATTAAGCCACAGTAAGTGTGATGATTAGATCTTCAGAACTTGAGTGCAAAACTATATTAAATAACTTAAATGCTTTATTGATAAAAACTTTACAAATTAACTTAAATTTACAGAAGTAAAACTAGAACACATTCAAAGTCGGTCACTGCTGAATCTGCTTGGCACGAAGCTTCTGTAAGGTTTTCTGTGTAGAGATGGTAAAAAAATATTTTTATATTATTTATATATTCTAACAACCTTCAACTCAAATTGCCAACAACTACTACAACAATCTTTTTTTTACCTTGTGGAATTCCTTGGCTTTCAGTCTGTTTTTCGCATAAGCTTCCTGTCGGCTCCTGATTGTTTTCTGATTCTTCACCTCCTCCAGCTGCTCATACAGTCTGCAGGAGCACAATTACACACTGCATCATTTTGTTTTGTCAAAACCCCATTTATATTCAACACATGTTTAATTTCAAATATGACTAATTGTAAGCAAGAGAAGAGAGGAAAAAAAAAATAAAAAAAATCTATGGCTGAAAGTGCTTTGGACTTTGTTTGGAAATTAAACATTCAGAGCCACATCTATGTTGGTGTATAGTGTCTGCAGATAATCAACATTTACTCAGTTGAGTTCAAAGTGCAGAGGTTTAAAAGCTAATATTCCATACATATACAATATTCCAGTACCTCTGAGTTCTCTGGTGCATCTCAGAAACATCCCGTTTCCTTTGCTCTGGTGTGTAGCATCTCACCTCATCCACCTTTTTCAGCTTGGAATCGTTCACTGACAAACAGGAAAATGGAAGGTGGTTGAATTTTCTAGGTTAATGATCACTACAGCTTCTAACTATTTCACAAGACACTGAACTATGTCTAATATTTTAATGAAATTTCAGTTTCCTATTTTGCTCAAATACATAATAACGCATATGGTGCCCACCACAGTCATATGGCATACAGGGCATGAAAGGTTTGGTCAAGATTTGTTACTGTGTTAAGAGTTAGGTGAGTTAATGAACCGATCTCCCAAAAAAAAGGTATAAAGTTCAGATGAAATATTTTCAACATTTTAAGCAAGAATTGTGAATTATTTTTGTAAAATTTTAGGGTGAAAAAAGGAAAAGAGCATGACACAAAGGTTTGTGCACCAATAGATTTGAGCTCTCAGATAAATAATTAGCTTGTTGGGGCTCTGGCTTGTTCACAATCAGTTAGAAAAAGCCAGGTAATGCTTCATAAACATTATGAATAATTACCTGAGTCAGAGGTATTAAGTGTACCTCTACAGACATTTTATTAGCCTCACTAAGAGCCAACACAGAAACCACTCATGTTTTGCTAATGGCTAAACATAGTACAACAGATCAGATTACGACATTTCATTGAGGTGAACAGCTGAGATCATTGTGACTTAGCTATATGTAGTTTTAAGGTTTCTTAAGTATCATATAAACAAATCAAAAGGCACATGTCCAAAAGAAGAAACCTAAGTGTGTACCAAAGTGTGAAATGGTATAAAGTTCAGATACCTGGAGGGGGAAGCTGGGGCTTTTCCTGCTTGATGAAGCCAGACTTCTCAGTGGTCTGCTGCTGCTCAGCTTGTCCTCTGTTTGACTTATTAGTCTTATGTTGAGGCTCTGGTTTAGTCTTTGCCTTGAGGGTGACTGGTTTAGATTCCTCTGTTTTAGATTGCTCTCTGGCTTCAGATGGAGATTGTTTCTCAGGCTGAATCTTGATGAGAGCCCCTTTGGCCTTGATGTCTTCCACCCTGCGGGATGATCTCTGGAGCAGAGCTCTGCGCTTCTGCTGGTTGACCTCCTGCAGACCCCTGCTAGGACCCCACTGAAACTCCAGGAACATCACTAAATGTAGGGAGGGAAAGAATGGAGGGCTCACTTTTCACAAATTTACAATGTTCTGGCAGAAAAAAGGAGAAATTAAATGCATCAAAAAAAAAAAAAAAAAAAAAAATCTGATTGGGTTTGTATAGATTTGCTCCTTTTTTTGTTCCTGATCACATCAATCTAAAAAAGCAAAAGCAGGCTCCCCCACAGTTTAGCCAGTGATTTCACCCCCAGTGTACTCCTGACAGCGTCATATTTTCAGTTAGATGTGTTCACTGTTGTGAGTTTACCTGGATGCGTTTGGTCCTTGTCCTCTAGCATCTCTTCTGGTAACAATGTGGATTCTGTACTCTATAGGAGAGCAGTTTTATGTTCAGAGATCAGAAAGACACCTACAGCCAAAGTCCAAAAGTCATCATGTCCAGATCGTCAATCACGGCACAGATTCTGAATGTATGATATTCATGTGCAGTTACCTCCATCTCTTGGCCTGTCCGTCCTTCCTCCCTCACCCCATCCGGATGTTTGCCTTCCCAAATTCCCTCTTCCTCAGTGATGCTTGTCTCTTGGTCCTGCAGTGTGGTGTCTGTCAGGCTCACTAGTGTTATCTCTGACTCCTCCAGGATCCCCTTCTCACTGCCCACCTCCTGATATCCAGGGAAAGATCACACATACACAATTCAGCCAATAAAATAACAAGAACACAAGACATTTAAAAAACATCTGTCATTTCCCAAAATAATCTGTGACCTGCAGTTGTAGCATGACAGAGCAATGTAGTGCTCTCAATAAGCAGATGTCTTTTTTGGCGCTGCAATGGTCAATTAATGTCTGAAAAGATATTTTTTTCAAAATGAACAAGAAAATCATACCAATATCTTATCTGAAGCTGGAATATCATTCCTCAGGTTTGAACCCTGCACAGACTTCAGCTCTTCGGCACAAAGGTCACTGAACAGGACTGGATCTTGAGGCTTTTCTGCATCCCTTCCTGCTGACTGCTGAAGACCCAGAGCAGCTGTATCATCACACATGGATAGGTTTGACAGATACAGAGCTGTTGGCTCCACATCTGTCCTCATGGTGTCATCCAACACGAGGACAGATTCTTGGAGCCGGCACTGGGAGGATTCATGTAAGGCAGGCTTCTCTGTTCGAAGGCGTTCAGGTGACGGTTCAGACTCAACAGAAGGATCAGAGTGCGTTTCAGACTCTTCGAAAGGTGTGGAGACACTGCTTTCCCCACTAGCTGGCTGTCCTTCAAGAGAGTTAGGCACATTGCGTTTGAGCAGGTGAAAGGTCACGGAGGGGTCGGCTGTTTCATTGTGGGTGACCTCAGCCAGTAGCGGATGGAAGGAGTCTGAGCCTGGAAAAACTAAGGTGATAAAAGCAAATACAATGCACAGTTAAGTTTCTAACTAGGTAAGAAAAATACAAGCTAGCTGACTTTGTGCATGATAATATTCTCTCTCTGATACAACCACCATAAGTAAAGCCTTGGCTATTAGGAATTCACCCCAACCTCACCTTCAGTCCTCTCTGGGCCCAAGTCCATCAGACTGGTTTGGTTGTGCAGTATCTGGTCTTCTGGATGTGGACTCACACCCGGGACAGTGGCACTTTGGGAAGAAGCTTCAGGAGGCAATGCAGGGTATGACGGCAAACTGGCCTCAGTTGAGACACCAAGATCTACATGGGTACTTTCACCTACAAACAGCAGATGAGTTGTAAACTCAAAACCTTTTTTCACTTTGAGAAAGTCCATTTGATAACTCAATCTGTATTTATCCATTAACTGTTTAACAATAAAATATTGCAAAATTGGCAAATGGCCATCATCTGATTATTCAAGATGCTCAGTAGAAGGTTGGACACTTTTTTTCTGCTAATAACTAAACAGCCTCACTGCATGTTGTAGTTTCCCTGTACAACCCTTCTTTTACCTGAGCTTCCACTGTGCTGATTATCAAGCTCCCCAACCAGTGGTCTCATCAGGCTCTCCTCCTGACCATCATCCAGCCATGTGGTCGACGACTCCAGTGCCATCTGCCCCATCAGCTGACCAGCATAAAAATCCTGCCCACCACTCAGCCAATTAGAGCTGGACTGATGAGAGAGTCGACCAATCATCCGGCTTAGAGTGGAATCCCATCCACCTTGATCCATGCTCACTGAAGCTGGCAGACCTGGAAGGCGACCAATCATGGACGAGTGAGCAGAGGGTTGACCAACCAGTTGCTCCATGGCCGAGTCCCTCTGGTCAGCAGTGAGACAGGATGATTGGTCGGCCACCTGGCCTATCAGAGGCCTGAAAGAGTCCTGCTCTGGGTCCTCAGCCTGTGATGGGTCCTCACCTGAGAAGTGCTCCAGGATTGGATTGGCTGTATTTTCCCTTTCCTGTGGCAAAAACAACATCAAATTCATTCTGGGCATTTTAAACCGAAAACCATGGATCATTGATTGAAGTCTGAAATAAAAATGGAGCTATCCTATGAGTGCCAGACTTTTTTTTATAGCTAGCAGATGCAGTAACTTGATGGACTCAATCAGCACAGCATATACACTGTATAATACAGTTGACAATTCCTTTAAATACAAGTTTACTGCTGTTAATTCTTAACAAGTTCCAATATTTCCTAAATGGTTTGAGAGTCACTGACCAGGCCACTTGTCTGTGTTCCTGCTGTGTCTGGGGGAAGAGACCGACGACCTGCAGAGCCTTCATGCTCCCCTTTGCTCTCTGAGTCTTGAACCAAAGACTGCTGTGAAAGTGAAGACCCAGGCTCCTCCAGATATGAGCCTTCACTGTCTGCAGAGCAAAGAAAGACACACTACTAACATGGTACAGTCTTCTGGCATAAAATCCTGAATTATGTGCCATGAGTATGGCCTGTTTTAACTAAAACATGTGTTCACAACTTGTTTCTGCTGCTCAATGTACTGAATAAGAGGTTCCACCAAACATTTTTGTAACTTTCCAAAGCAGAACATTTCATGAGCACACATTTCACACAGCAGTTTGCCAGGTGTGTGGAGGTGTGATTATCACATCTGGCCTTTGAGTGTGGCCGGGACAAAGTGCTATAAGCAGTTTTCAGACATGGTTGTACCATCTCACTTGCACCAAACTAACACACTAACAGATATGCGACACCTGCTATTAATCTATCAGGTTGACAAACAAGAGGCTATTCTTTTAATAAACATTTGCATTATGTTTAGAATACCTGTGGTTCTCCCAGCGGTGCTGAGGGAGATGTTAAGCTCCCTCGTGTATCTGTCAATAATGCGCTGGATGCTGCTGTCATTAAACAGAGAGTCTACAGCCACAGCAGGATGGCCTGCAGCTGAGCTGTCCTTCATACAGGAGCTTTGACCAGATGGAGAGAAGACGTCACGTAAATCTGCTCCTCGTCCTTCCTCACAATGTCTGACAGGTGGAGATTTATCTAAAGTAATGGGAGAAAAAAAAAAAGGAGAGCAGATTTAGACTAACAAAGTTAGAAACAACTAGCATGTTGTCTGGTGAATATACGCTGTATGGGTCTGGTATACAGTAGCTCTTTGTTACCTTAACAATGGATAGACAAACCATTCATGTACAGCAGCATCATGCTCCAGATGCCTGCAGAACTGAAGCATATTCCAACAGGTCCCACAATAATGCTTACAATTTTAGAGCACATTATCAAATTCTCTACTTCTAAAGAAGAGCAAGCCAACTCGTGTTGGTCAGGTGATTTAAATACCCAATTTTTCCAGCACCTGGCATCTTCTGACATGAATTCTTCAAATAAATTAAGATCAACTTCATGGTCAAAAACATTAACAAAGCACAACAAAAGCAACAAACGCTCCTGTTGTTCCTCACCAGTGTTCTGCTCAGGATCCGTGGTGATGTAGCTGCCGGTGGAGATAGTGGTGGATGAGAGACAGTCAGAATCAGGAGGCCTAGGGGGAGACTGACACACACATACACAAGGATTTTAAGGGTCATCATAAAACATTTTGTACCAAAATGACATATTGGTTTACAGATGCTCACAGATTCACTGAGCTCAGTTCAAGTGTAGAAACCATCATGAAATGTATTTTGATTAAATACACTTCAGGTTCAGTAATTTTACATCATCGCTCAGTACACAGAAACAAACATCCCACCCCCCCCCACACACACACACACCCTGTCTCACCCTCTCATACACATTCACTCCATACAGGCAGACACACAGACACAAAAAGCTTCTCAAGCATAATCACAGGCTGAGACAGGTACTGCCCAAGTACTCAGATTTGGCTAATTTTCATCATTGATCCACAACATGTGAACCTCAGAGGGTCTACAATGGAGAGCAGAGATGCAATTTATCTTTGCTGCACAAGTTTGCCACAAAGTAAAGAAAGAGCAAGTAATAAGTTTTGTACATCTTCAGTAGGTTACCTCTGTGTAGGACCTGTAGCTTGTGATTGCAGGACCAGAGTAGTCAGCTCCTCTCCCAGAGTCAGAGGAAAGCGGTGAGATTATTCTCATGGCTGAATATGGAAAACAATATATGAACCAAGTGTAAATATCTTTATTTTGACCAGTTTTTTTTTTTTTCCCAAAAATGAAATGAAATACAAACATTTTATCCTCAATCTAGGTTCTTTATCTCATCACTCTTCACATGCCCTCTACATACCTGACTCTGAAGACTCTGCCCCCATCAGTGGTCTCTCCCTCCAGAGGATATTGCTGGATCTCCTTGAGCTTGTCCTAGAGCCAGTTGGTCTTTCAGCAGTCCGCTGATCACTGCTGGACAAAGAGGGTGTCTGCAAAGTCCTGTTAGAGGTGTCAGACAAATCTGATTCCTCCTGCAGATCCCAGTCTACAGTGTATGAAGGAACCTTCATGCTATCCTCTGGGCCTGGAGATAGGAAACAACAACAATCCAAATCAACTCATATTCCTCTCCGCAGCTTGACACATGGTTTGGGCATGAGATAAAAACAGTATGTTATTCATGCGTTTCTGGTGACCTGTGATTTGGCTGCTGTTGACTGGTGTCTCCACCTCTTGAATAGCACTGAGCTCATGTTGTTCAGTCATCATCTCCGTGATTCCCAGCCTGACACGGGTCACCGGGGGCTTTGCTGCTCGAACAGGAGGAGGTTCTGAGGGGAGGACCGACACTGGCGCAGGCCCAGCATGAGCGTTGGTCTGAGCAATGAGATCTTAATAGAAAATTTAAAAAAGTGTTTCATGATGAATCTAGGTGTATGCCATTGCAATAATATCACTTCCATTACAAATTTGTAATGGAAGTGATATTATTGCATTTTATGCCACAAGGGCATTAAAAACAGGATAATGCTTTTTATGAGTTGGAATTTAATGGTAAATGTGTAAATCTGTCAAATTAATTTTAATAACCAGTACTGAACAAAACAACAGGATGCAACATGGCACTTATACATCCCCAGAATTCAGCAAGCATTTTTTGAAAATGTCAAATAGAAATAGAAAGGGTAAATAAATTAAGTGGACAGAGTTTTGCAATCTGAAATTTAATAAAAATTATGTCAAAAAAGGTGGAAAAAAAAAAAAAAAAAACTATCTACAACCTAACATGTCAGTTACCTGTCTCACCACTGCTAGATGGCAGTTGTTGAGGGGAGCCATCTTTCTGCTGAGGGTCTTCTAGGTGTGATAAAGTTCCGCCGTTAGACTCCTCTATAGCTCTCAGCAGGGACACGAGTAATCTGAGGCGAGTCTGACCGATGTCCTCTGAAACCAACTCTTCACTGGCAGCCTCTGGAACTGGCTGCAGGTGAGAAAATACAAAAAGGGAAAGTTGTTTTTAGATGTGCTGTATAACTTTTACAATTTTTTAAAAAAGGGCATGTCAGCAGAGTTAATTCTTGGAATCAGAGAGGCTCAAACATTTTAGCTGCTGTTTTAGATTAGTGAAGAAATAAGATACAATCTGTCTACTGAACTGTAACAAACAGCAGCACAGGCATAGTTCTCAGACTTACTTGTGTATCAGTATGAATCAGAGCCTGCAACGTCTCCTTTTGCCTCCTCATCTGCTCCATCTCCTCTTCCCGTCTCAGTCGCTGATCTTCCTGTCTCTGCCTCTCCTCTTCTTGCTGCTTCTGCTGCAGCACCACTGCCTCCCT